ACTGTGACTGAATGTGTCCTTCCCAGTGCCTGTCACAGGGTGTTCATGCAGATGTGGTCTGCTCAAGTGCACAGAACCAGGCTTTTCTACAGTGTACCCCAGCTTTCAGCACAGGGGCTGAACCAGGCTTTTCTACAGTGTACCCCAGCTTTCAGCACAGGGGCTGAACCAGGCTTTTCTACAGTGTACCCCAGCTTTCAGCACAGGGGCTGAACCAGGCTTTTCTACAGTGTACCCCAGCTTTCAGCACAGGGGCTGAACCAGGCTTTTCTACAGTGTACCCCAGCTTTCAGCACAGGGGCTGAACCAGGCTTTTCTACAGTGTACCCCAGCTTTCAGCACAGGGGTTCTCAGGAAGCACACCTCACTTGATATAAGGGCACAGGTAGGAAAAGAATCACCAGAGAAGACACAGAGAACTAGCAGGAATGCAATTGCATTGTTTCCTAACATTGACTGTTTTTGTTTTTGTTTTGTTTTTTGGTTTGATTCTGAGTCAGGGTCTCCTGTAGCACAGGCTGGCCCCAGACCTGTTGTGCAGGCAAGGATGACTTTGAACCACACTGATCCACCCGCCTCCACTTGCCCAGTGCTAGGATTGTAGGCTTGTGTCTTGGTGCTTGGTTTTATGCAGTGCAGGGGACTGAACCCAAAGCTTCATGCATACCAGGCAGACACTACCGATTAAGCAACATTTCCAGCTCTTGGCAGTTTTAAAAGTTGGTCAGCTGTATGCTATTAATAGATCCCTTCCTCCCTGGTTCAGAATGGAAACCTTTTCCACAATAGTCTGTATTTGTGAGATTTGTTATTTTTCTCATGTTGACTATGTTATTTCAAACATAATGGAACACCTTTCATAGTTTAGTAAAAAGAAAGAATAGACATTATATTAACACTTTTTTTCTTCTTTTTGGTTTTTCTAGACAGGGTTTCTCTGTATTGTTTTGGAGCCTGTCCTGGAACTTGCTCTGTAGACCAGGCTGGCCTCGAACTCACAGAGCTCCTCCTGCCTCTGCCTCCTGAGTGCTGGGATTAAAGGTGTGCGCCACCATGCCCAGCACGTTATATTAACACTTAAGAGGACCCAGTCAATATTATCATCAGTTTCTCTCCCTGTAGCACTTTAACATTAAAAACCATTGATTGTTGGGGGTGCTCTAGAAGTTATTAGATTGATATAGTTACATGAAATGCAGCCTGACTTTTATTTCTCTTCACCCCTGTCCCCTTCCACCCCTTTCTTTATTTCTGACAGGTCTTGCTGTGTAGCCCAGGCTGGCCTCAGACTTGCAGTTTTTCTATCTTAGCCTTCTAAGACCTGGGACTATAGGCATATGCCACCATGCCTCGTTCTTTCTTTCTAACTTCTATTTCTGGCCATGTATTCATCCACTCTTGTTGATTTTTAGTAATACTCTGTAGAGCCTCATCCCTATTCCTCTGGAATATTCTCTAACACTTAATCGTGCCCTTCTGTAGCAGCCCTGTGTTTGAGGTTCACTGGTGTTGCACAGTTCTGGAAGCGCACTCTGGTTGCTTTTGTTGAGTTGTTCTCTTTATGGCTGTGTACCAAATCAGCCCAGGACACGCTCCACCCCTGCTCCCTCTTTTGAAGACTTTATCTCAGTTCTCCTTCAAATCACCACTTCCAGCTGGGAATACAAAGAGGAGTAAGAGCCTAAGAGCCAGGGTTAAAGAAGGGAAGGGATGAAGTCCATCCCAGCCTTCGAGGTGGAGGGGCTGTCACCGGAGGAACGGTAACAGCTGGCTTTTAGTGAGTACCCACTAACCATGAGGTACCCCCTCGGAGGTAGTCCTCTGTCATTTTTTAAAATATCTACACATCTGTTTGCAGACAAGGAATCAGCTACAGCAGCTGAAAAGGACCCATGACCCAGGAACTAGGACCATTGAGTCTTGCATGCCTAATCATCTTGCTGTTGTTTTCCTTGTTGAGATGTGAATGACTGGAAGACCAGAAAAGCACAAACAAAGAGAGGGAAGGGAAAGCAGAGAGAACCAGAGAGGAGCTTGGGAAGTAGTCAAGAGAACTGGAGGGAGAATTAGCTGGGGAGTTGAAGCTGTTTCTTTTCTGGTTGGATTTGTGCTCGCCTGTGCTTATGTGGGATGTGTGTGAGTGCAGAGAGAGAGAGAGAGAGAGAGAGAGAGAGAGAGAGAGAGAGAGAGAGAGAGAGAGAGAGAGAGAGAGGATGTGTGCATGTGTGAGCTCAAGTGTGTATGAGTGTGCATGGAGGGCAGAGGTGGACATTGGTTGTCTTCCAGAATTACTTTCTACTTTATTTTTTAAGACAGGTTTCTTGTTGGATTTGAAGCTAATGGGTTGGCTATGCTGCAAGGACAGTGCTCTCCAGAGATCTTGCTGTCTGTGTCCACAGTGCTGGGGTGCGATGGACACACCTGGCTTTTCTGTGGGACTCTGCTGCCTGAGCCACCCCCCCCATGCTAGATGCCCGATGAGAAGGTTGGGAAGGGAGTAGTGATAACTGAGACCACGTAAGAGAGGGGCGATTTTGAACCATTCAGCATTGGAATGAAATAATATATATTCCTACAATACATATACTACTGTGGAAACTTTGCACAACAGAATTTGCAATGAATTGATTGGGGAGGGAGAGGTAGAATTGAATGGGAAATCAATAAACTGTTCAAGATAAATGGCATATAACACAGGGACTTGGAGATTTTAAAGTCCCCCCCCCCTTAAACTTTATTCTCTGTTCCATGGCTTCCATTGGGGGGCAGGGGAGAGGAAACAAAACAAAACACAAAAAACTAGAAAAGTAAGAGACAGGCTCATTGTCAACATACACAGCTGTCACCAGGCCATTTTGTTTCTGCCTAGGTTTCTCACCGTGTAGTGGCCTGGCAGCCAGGAGCAGCCACTATTCATTTTTCCTCCCAGCAATTCCAGGAAGGGATGCCAGTGCCAAGCAGAGGGCTGGCATGTGTTAGCCCACCCAGACTCACTAGCATAGACGCTGGGGTGGCAGGCAGGTGGCTGTCAAAGACAGGAGGGAAGAGGCAGGGGAACTATGACTGGAAGAGGGGGCGGAGCAGGGCTGGTACACAGAGTCCTGGCTTCTGAAGCTCAGGCAAAGGCAAGACCAAAACAAATGGGCAAACAAAAACCCCCAACAACAACATGTGGGGGGACGGGGGAGAAATGGGCCAGGAGACCAGGCGCCTGTAGCAAATAGGAAGCAGATGCTGCCAGCAGACACGCCTGCTTTAGCGTTAGCGTGTGTGCAAAGCACACCCATGCCCGTGCGTTACGATGGAATTACCCGTTTGCAGCATCTAGAGTGGAAGGTGGGAATTATATTCCTTTCTCGGAGAAAAAGGTTTCTGCTAACAACAAAACCAAAATGACTGTTGAGTGAACGCTGCGTGTCTTCTCAGTTCGAAGGTAATAGTGTCTGTGTGAATTTGTTGGAGGCGCTAACATCTTGGGATGGTAAGGATCAGAAAAATGTTAAGCCCAGAAAGTTCTACAAGCCCTAAAGCTGAGCTGTGCACTGAAATCTTAAAGTGTGGATGAAAACGGCTCTGGCCTAAGCTTCACAAATAGTCAAGGAGGGTACGTTTTTGCATTCGGTGCATTTGCCACCCCAAACAGTCTGTACTGACAATGAAAGGCAATGGGGTGAACCCCACGTAGAGGCACCCCGTCACAAGGACTTTTCTCCAGTGGCTTTTTAAAGGCAAGTAAAGATGTACAGTTACTGGCTTCTTTTCTATCGGCATACCTCAATCCATTTACAATTCACACAACAAAGAAGCTGACAATTTAACTTTTCTCCTTCTGGAAGCCTTATCCTTACTCAGATCCAAATAGGTAGGTAAACATGTTCGAAGCACAGGTACGGATTTTATGGATCTCTGGAAGGGCTCTGCTTGCCGGGCGGCCAGCTCAGTTTCTGACAAAGAAAAATGGGCTGCTCTTGCTTCACACACAAAGATGCACTGTTTTCAGAGCAAACCAAAAAAAAAAAAAAGGCGGTGTTGGGTAGTGGGAATAGGGAGGGGGATAAAGGACAACATCTAGCAGGATAATTTAGTAGAAACTCTGTGAGTTGAGGAAATGTATGAATGACTTGAGAGATTTAAAATTATGCTTTGCTTTAAGAACTTTATGCTAGTATTTGGAAAACTCAGCAAGCAAATTTCTCTAAATTTCATTTTGTTTTTAAAAGCACAATATAAGTAAAGATGTAGCTTGTTTTAAACACTGTTATGTCCTTGTGTCCCTACAAGACACGCGTCTGTAACAGCATTCAGTTTCCACAAGAAGGGAGGTGAAGCCTTTGGTGAAGTGGATTGCCCCAGCCCCTTCCCCAAGCTGCCTTCTGGGCTTGTTTATTTGTGTTTCCAACTTCTTGGAACAGACTTTCTCTGTTAGGGATGGAGCAGCCAGCTGAGGAAGTGTCTTCCAGTGGGCTATTTTTCCCTCCTAGAAACAAAACCCACAACTTCTTTTTTTTTTTTCTCTCAACTTTAGTTTGATCAAACATATCACATGAGTAACACAATCACGAAATTCAACACACTGACCCCCTCAGAATTGTCTTGGTGAAGTTTTCCACGAGGCATACAAGTAGCGTGGCCCACAGCCTGCAGCCCTGTGCCTTTCAAATCTTCAAAACACAAGCTGTCATTAAGGCTATAGCAATTGGGCCCAGAAATCAAACGCTTGTCCTATTTGCTTTAAAAACAAAAGGATCATTTCCAAGCAGTTTTCCTAATTTTGTATAGTACACATGAACCATGGTTAAACACACACACACACACACACACACACACACACACACACACACACCTACCTCCCCAGATATAATTAAGAAACAAAGCGTCATTGTTAGATGGACCACACAATTTCATTATGAAAAAGAGCTTAAGAATCCACAGGTCCATGCTTCAAAGACTAAGCATTCTCTTATTTGGAAACAGATAACTACGTTAGAAGTAAGCGGTACCTTGTAAAGTAAAATCCAGCAGGGCATATTCATAAGCAAACTCTGTCTTTGTTTCCACTTGCGGTCTCTTCAGGGTAGAAAATATTTTTCCTGGGCTGCTGTCATCAGCGTCTTCCAGCTTCCTAAGCCCGCACCCCATGGCAAAGTCTGCAAGGAGTTAGACAGCAGGAAAAGAGCAAGACGACCGTGAGCAGCCAGTTCTCTTGTTGAAACTGCGAAGCAAAGTTACAGACTTAACTGTTTTGGTTTGATTTTCAGCGAAATGATAGATAGCCAGAAAGAAAACGGCGGGTCCAAGGCGAGGAACGGGGGACTTTATCCATTCTTCTGTAAGGTCACTCAGCCCGTGGGTTAGCTCCGGGACGCTGGGCTCGCAAACTGGTGTAACTTAGCAAGAGAATTTCCATGCCACGTCAATTTACAGCCAGCCAGCCCCTGACCAGAGCTCTGCCGCTCAGGGCACGGGGCTTTGTCTCTCCCAGCTGATTGAATGGAAAAGAGGTGTCCAGAAACGGAATTAAAAGTACAACTCGGGTGTGGTTATCTACAGATAGAAGACAGAGTCCGACAAAATGATGACATTCTGTCTGTTTTCTCTCTTCTGTCCTGTGCTCGCTCCCTCTTCCCGCTTCTACTAAGAGAGCAAAAGGGAGGGGGAGAGGAGAGAGGAAGCGAGGGAGGGACAAGCGGAGGGAGGGATGGAGAGATGGAGGAAGGGAGGGAGAGAGGGAGGGAGGGAGAGAGAGAGAGAGAGAGAGAGAGAGAGAGAGGGAGAGAGAGGGAATTTCAGTGTGGTTGGAAACAAAAATCAGTTCCAGAAGGGAAGTGAGCTTTTCTTAGGGAACCCTGGAATCCCAACAGGAGAACAGAAGGAAAAAAAGAGAAAGAAAGGAAGGAAAACAAAACAAGGAAAACCCTTCAGTCCTAGGTGGAACGTTTAAAAATCTCTTTCTACATGGAGTTTCTTTTTTGCTAGAAAAATGTAATTAAAAATACCAAGTATAAAAAGCATAACCCTTTCCCCCAAAACTCAAGACATTTTCATCAAAAGGCTTGAGAAAGGGGATAACGGAGTGAATGTGGCTTAAGTGCATTACATACATGTATAGAAACATCATCATGGTTTTATATTTTATTTTGTTCAATTAGCATATCCTAATAAAATAGTTAAAATTGCAAAGAAGAGACAGTTGTTCGAGGAATTAGTTTTCCCAGCATGTGCAGGGGCCCTCTGTGGCCAGAAGGGGGTCCCATCCTGGGGACTTGGAGTAACAAATGGTTGTGTAAGCTCTGGGGCTGTGAGTGGGTCCTCTCAGGAGCAGCCAATGCTCTCAGGTCTGGACTCACTCTTCAGTCCTTCAGCCATGGTTTAAAACAGATCTATTAGAGAACTTACAGTGGTGTCTGACAGTTTCACAGGTTGCAAAATGGCTTAGTTTAAGCAAAACAAAACAAAAAAACCCCAAACTAAAAACAAAAAGTGGATAACTTGACTCATTTAATCCTATACTTTGCCACATATCCGAGGTCAGGAATAACTTCCCAGGAGTCACTGCAATGCGTATTTATTGTGTTGTGTCCTGTCCAGGTCTAGGCTTCTTATCACTAGCTCTGAAAGCCGATTGCTTGTGTGTGAATTCTGCTTTTCAGGTTTACTACAGACATGCTCTTGGGGAAGTTATTTGACTTCTCCGAGTTTCAATTTCTTTCCCTCTTAAATGTCCCTAGTGGTACTTCTGCCGCCTTTTGATTTCAAAGGCTGAAACTGTCCATGTTCTGTCCTAATGTTGCTGGGAGAGAGCAATGCATTTGTCAATAAGTGCACCTTATGAGGCAGGGCTGGCAGGCATGATAGGAAGGAATGGGTTTTGGCACCATTCCCATTATTTACAACATAAATCCGGATCTCCTTTGGAAACCTAGAGAAAGCCAGGCTGAAGAGATTGGTCAGTCTGTTAAAGTGTGCACGTGAAAACTCTTTGAAGGGAGTATGTGTGGGTTATTTAGTTTGTAGACCATTGGCATCTTTTGCCTCTTCCTTCTGTTCATTTCCCTTTAAGTGTTTTACTTCTCAAAAGTGTTGTGTATAGGAAACCATTCCATAGTTCCCATGTTCAAGGATAGACTTAATCAGTGGAAGGGAATTCTGGGTAAATTAGACGAATCACCCAATAGACTGAGACTAATTTGACTTTTTTTTTTTTTTTTAAGACAGGGCTTCTGTGTCCCTTTGGAGCCTATCCTGGCACTTGCTCTGTAGACCAGGCTGGCCCCGAACTCACAGAGCTCCACCTGATTCTGCCTCCGGAGTGCTGGGATTAAAAGTGTGGGCCACCACTGCCCAGCTAATTTGACTCTTTATAGAGACTCATGATTGCCATATTTCATGTCCCCTTTTGTAGAATGGGCTGTTGTGCTGTTATGCAGTAAAAATGAAATCTCTGAAGTCTCTCACCAATCACATTGCTTGTAAAATTGTTTATTAAGTTCCCATTACCTTTATCAAGTGTCAGCCATTTCTAGGCATTCAAAATCAAAACAAAACAAAACAAACAAACAAAAAAACCCCAATAGTTACAAAAGGTGACTAGACAGGGTATGTCCCCTAAAGGAACTTATGGGACTATGTCCTGGCTGTTCTCAAGGATGAGTACATGGAGGAATGACACAGAGAGGCAGGAGTGTGTGCCTGGAGAAGGGACATGCATAGCTAAAGGTCAGTTGTGAAGCAGTATGGCATGGGTGAGCAACACTGAGCAGTTGGTTACTAGAACATGAAACTTGAAAGAAAAACTAAGCTGTGCAAACGTGCTTTGAATGCTATATAAATAGAACCTAGACTTTATTTTGTAGGTGATAGAAGGGGACCAGATAAACAAAATGAATGAAAAGGACGATCATTTTCCTACTAGATGTGTCATTGGTATAGCCTGAGGGAGATGCTTTAAATGGAATGGGGAGGGGGAGGCTGGAAAGAAGGCTCTAAGTCCAACTGTGAGCAGAGGCTGACTGGGTATAGCTCTTTATTATTATTATCTATGTATGTAGTATCAGTATACAATTATGTATTGTTTGAAACACTACATCATCTTTGTGTATGTAGTTACTATTACTATTATTATTAGTAGTATGTGATGTGTGTGTGTGAGTGCATGGAGGCCAGAGGACAACTTCAGCTGTTCCTCTGGTTTTTAAGACAATGTCTCTCATTGACTGGAACTCACCAAGAAGCAGAGTCTGGCTGGCCAGCAAGCCCTAGGCAGCTGCTTGTCTCTTTCTCCCCCTCATTGGGATTGCTCAGCGTTCCCCCTTTCCTCTTAAAATGTGAATTGTGAAGGCTGAATGCTGGCACCCATGCTAACAAGGAAAGTACTTTATTGCCTTGGCTGACCTGGAACGACTATATATACTAGGCTGGCTTTGAACCCACAGAGATTCAGAGTTCTGGGATTAAAGGTGTCACTGAATAACTGAACAATCTCTTAGGCCATTTTCTCCTTACAATTGCAAAAGAACAAAATTTTGTTTGATTCAATAATATTTGGAAACCATTTTCATGTATTAATGTGGCATATGTCCCATCTTGACAATTAATGCTAGTTCTTCAAATGTGTAGGTATCACATGCAGATATTCAAACAAATGGGTATTGGAAATGTGTTTTGGAGTTGCACCTGTATTGGATATGTGCAGACATTTGTTATCATCCCTGAACATAGCAGCTTGACAACATGAGGCTCACAAAAAGACCAACATGGTATGTACTCACACACATATGGATTTTAGACATAGAGCAAAGGCTCTCCAGCCTAAAATCCACTGCCAGAGAAGCTAGGAAACATACATGGTCCCCTAGAGAAGGGCAAAGAGATGAGATCTCCTCTTAAATATATATATTCTCCATACAAGGTCAAATAGCTTATTGTTTTTAAAGTGATTTATCTGATGTAGATGATATATTACTTTTAAAGTGATTTATTTGTATGTTGATGGTATTTGGACTTAAGGCCCTCCCAGGAGGAAGGAATTCAAGTCTGGTATTGTAAACCTAGCAAACTCTCACTGTCTGGTGAGGGCATGGACTCAAGAGGAAAACTTATTACTGACTGGCTTTTCCTAAACCAGTGTAGCTTCTACCCCCTTTCTAAATCCTTATCTTTGTACTTACAGTTAAGTGTGGGCTGTCATCCCTCATCAAAGAAACTTATAAGATAAAGACCATTATAAAAAGCTACAACTGGTCAAAAATGTAGAGAACAACTGGCCACAGGGTGCCTGTAACCAACTGACGTATTCACAACCCCTGTACCTAAAGGTCATGGACCATCACAGGAGGAGAGCCAGAAAGACTGTAAGAGTCAGAGGACAAGGATTGTGTCCTATGGATGTGCAAGACTGTGTCTTATAGATATGATAGGGCAATGAACCCATGAAACCTCAACAATATGCCTTATTAAACAAGATGGGAACCACACCATTTGATGTGGTTCCACCTCTAGATCAGGAGCTACAGGCAACTGACGACTGCCGAAAGAGGGATAATTAGTCTTCTCCAGGGGTGAACACCCTAAATGGTTATTTAGCACCTAGTGGCCAACCCTAAAAACATACATGGAAGCAACACTCAATGGACACACTGGGTTGTCCGTGTGTGTGTGTGTGTGTGTGTGTGTGTGTATTTGTATATGTATATGCCCATATATATGTAACACATATACACATGTGCATAACAGTAATAAGGAAAAACAAGCCACAAACTTGAGGTGGAGTGGGAGATGAGAAAGTGTTGGAGAGAGGAGAAGGAGGGGAATGATATAGTACTGTAAGGCTTAGCTGGAGTGATGAGACAAGAAAAAAAAAGAATATAAATATGAAAGGAAGAAGTCAAAGTATCTCTACTTACAGACGATATGATTCAACACATAAGAGACCCTAAGGACTCTACCGGAAAACCCTTAGAAGTGAGAAACACTTTCAGCAAAGTAGTAGGTTACAAAATTTACACAAAAATCAGTAGCCTTCTTCTATGTCAATGACAAACATATTGAGAAAGCAATCAGGAAAACATTTAGATTCACAATAGCCTCAAAATTTTACCTTGAATCGAACCTAACCAAGGATGTAAAAGACCACTACAATAAGAACTTTAAAGCACACATGAAATAAATTGAGGAAGATGAAAAGGCACTGGGTTGTAAAAGTTAGTCTTGTGAAATGGTCATCCTATAAAAAGCACTGTATGGATATACAATATCTAATTATTCATCAGATGATGAACATTTGAGTGGTTTCACTTTCTGGATATTGTGAACATTAGTGAATTATTTAACTTTGGACTCATTTGACTGGCCAAAATAAAAACAGGTAGTACCAAGTACTGTTTTTTTTTTTTTTTCAAAGAAAATGGTTATATTTAAAAAGATGTAAATTAATTTGACTATGCTGGAAAAAAACTTGGCATTACCTTGTGAAGTGCAACATTCACATTTTATTTTTTTTTATGATTCAGCAATTTGATTCCCAGGTCAATAGAAACTTTAGCATATAGGTACAGTTGTAATTTAAGAAAAGCAGCAAGCATGTGCCAGAGAAAGACACCATTTGACAGGGTTCAAGCAGACAGATTTTTTATTAGGGGAAGGGATCATAAAAAGGGAAAGGGAAGGGGGAGACTGGCCTCTGGGGACAGGAGCAGCAGGAGAGAGGAAAGGAAGGAGGGAGGGAGGGAGGGAGGGAGGGAGAGAGAGAGAGAGAGAGAGAGAGAGAGAGAGAGAGAGAGAGAGAGAGAGAGAGAGAGAGAGAAGGATGGGAGGTGGGCAGGACCCTTTTAAAAGGGAACATAGTGAATGTGCACAGTTGGTGCTTAGTGGCTGCAGGTGAGGTCATATCCTGTCTGAAACCCAATGACAGGCCAGCACAGATGCCTGAATACTAACAGGTAACAAAAGAGACATCTGAGAAGGTGAATAACAACACTGTGTATATGAAGAGCCATTTACTTAGGGAACTCTGTCACAGGGAAGGAAGGAAGCAGAGCCATAGGAGTCCGAACATTTTATTTCTAAGATGAGCAAAAAATAGTGTGCTGCTTTTTTTTTTTTTTTTTTTTTTTTTTTGTCAACTTGATATAAGCTAAAGTCATCTAGGAAGAGGGAATGACAATTCAGAAAATACTCCGTTAGATTGTCTGTAGGCAAGTCTGTGGGGCATTTTCTTAGTGATTGTTGTGGGAGGGCCCAGGTCACGTGGGCAAGGGAATCTAAGCAGCCCTTCTCCATAGCTCCTGCTTCAGTTCCTCCCTAGCATTCCCTTCATGACAGACTACAGAGAGTAAGCTATAACAAATCCTTTCCTCCCTGAGTTGTTTTTGTCATGAAGTTCACTGCAGCAATAGGAAACCAACTGGGACAGATAGCATGCTTGCATGCTGAACCACTGACTTCATGGTCACAGGAAAGACAGAAAGAATTTACAGAGAATCTGATTTGTCAATCAGATTTGTTTTATTACCCCCTTTCAATTTTTCCTTCTTTTTAAAACTGGAAATAAACTTTTCATACTATACATTCTGATCATAGTTTCCCTTCCCTCTTCTCCTCCCAGAACCTCCCACCTATCCAACTCCACCCTTCTCTCTCTAGAAAACAAACATTCCAACAAACAAACCAATCATCAAATAAAACAAAGCAAACAGATAGAAACAAAGCAAAACAAAAACAAAATAGGAAAAACACAAATAACCCCCTTTCAATAAAAACACGAAATTGGAAGCTATAACCGAGATGCAAAAGACAAGGTAAAAAATGCACAAACAGCTGGGTTGTGATGGCACATGCCTTTAATCTCAGCACTCACGAGGTAGAGGCAGGCAGATCTCTGTGAGTTCGAGGCCAGCCTGGTGTACAGAGAGAGTTCCAGATAGTACCCAAAGCTACAGAGAAACCCTGTCTTGAAAAAACAAACAAACAAACAAACAAACAAACAAACAAACAAACAAACCACAAAGCATTATGAAACATAGCATCTCCAAGAGGACTGTTGAGTTTGTTTTGTGTTGTCATCTTCTGCTCAGCATGGGCTCTCCCTTAAGTGTGGTTTGCATACCAAGTAAAACTCAAATGGAGATAGCTTATGGTTAGAGGTGTGAGCTTGTGTCCATGTCCCCTCTCAGCACTGGAACCCTATTAGGCCCCAACTTGTGCAGGCTCTGTGCATACTGCCACAGTCTATGTGAGTTCATACATATATTGTTGTCCTATCATGTCTGGAAGGTACTGTTTTCTTGGTGTCTCCCATCCTCACTGGCTTTTACAATCTTTCTGCCTTCTCTTCCTCATAGTTTTGAACTGTGAGGAAGAAGGCAGGGGTTTGATGAAGGCATCATCCTATTTTGGTCTGAGTGTTCCACTGTCTCACTCTGCACATTTTACAGTTGTGGGTCTCTGTATTAGCTCCCATCTAGTGCAGGAGGAAGCTTCTCGAGGATGGCTGAGTGAGACACTGATTTATGTATATAGCAGAATGTTTTCAGGAGTCATTTCATTATTGTTTTTTTTTTCAGCAGAACAATAGTATTTGGTTTTCTCTTAGATCTATGGTCTGCCTAGTCTCAAGTTCTTGGCTGAGAAGCGTCAGGTATGGGTTTCACTTCATGAGCATTCCCTACATTGGTTAATTACGACTTTTCCCCCCAGTGCTTATTCTTCTCTAAAGTGCCCTAGGAAATTAGTTTCCTCCTTTTCATATTTACTTAGATTCTGAGATAAAATTTAAGTGGGTTTTTCAGTTGTTGATTAGAGTATATGGAGAGGCTGGATTTGTGTCCCGTATTATGCTATTTGGGAAAATGCCTCAATATAGAAATCTTGCCAACAAGCTCAGTCCAGGACCGGAAACAGATCCCAGCGTGTAAAACTGTAGCTCAAAGCACAACACACAGGACGCGCTTCTCCAGTCATCTGTGACACGGAACCCAAAAGGCTACCACTCAAACTCTCCCGCCTGCCTACCCGCGGCCCTTGCGCGAGCAGGAAGCCTGAAGAGGGAGGCGCTGTGGGCGGGGCCGCAGAAGCCAGCGCTCGCCGTTCATTGGCTTCCGCGGCGGAAGCTGCGGTGCCATCCAGCTGCGCACGCGCCCTCTCACGTGCTCGGGACGCCGTCTCTAGGGCAGGAGCCGGCTGGCACCATGCTGCGCCAGTGTGCCCTACGGGTGCTGTCGCGCACCCGGGCGGCCCCCGGCTGTCGTCGCTACGGTTCGTGCTCGCCGAGCGCCCGTAGCGACACTGGAGAAGCGCGGGCCTACTTCACCACGCCCATTTTCTACGTGAACGCGGCGCCGCACATCGGGCACCTGTACTCGGCGCTGCTGGCAGACGCTCTGTGCCGCCACCGTCGTCTCCGCGTTCCCGGCTCTGCGTCCACGCGGTTCTCCACCGGCACCGACGAGCACGGTCTAAAGATCCAGCAGGCGGCAGCCTCCGCGGGTCTGTCCCCAGTCGAGCTGTGCGATCGAGTGTCTGCCCAGTTCCAGCAGCTTTTCCAGGAGGCTGGCATCTCCTCCACTGACTTTATCCGCACCACGGAGGCCCGGCACCGGCTGGCCGTGCAGCACTTCTGGGAGGTACTGGAAGCCCGGGGTCTGCTTTACAAGGGGCTTTATGAAGGATGGTATTGCGCCTCCGACGAGTGCTTCCTGCCTGAGGCCAAGGTCACTCGGCAGTTGGGACCGTCAGGGGATCCGTGTCCCGTGTCTCTCGAGAGTGGACATCCTGTCTCCTGGACCAAGGAAGAAAATTACATTTTCAGACTTTCCCAGTTTCGAGAACCACTCCAGCGGTGGCTTCGAAGTAACCCTCAGGCGATCACCCCGCAGCCGTTCTACCAGACAGTTCTTCAGTGGCTGGAGGAGGAGCTGCCGGATTTGTCTGTTTCTCGAAGGAGTAGCCACCTGCACTGGGGCATTCCGGTTCCCGGGGATGATTCGCAGACTATCTACGTGTGGCTGGATGCCCTGGTCAACTACCTCACTGTAGTTGGCTATCCAGATGCAGATTTCAAGTCTTGGTGGCCAGCCACATCTCATATCATAGGTAAGGACATTCTCAAATTTCATGCCATTTATTGGCCTGCCCTTCTCTTGGGGGCCGGACTGAGGCCACCACATCGCATCTATGTCCACTCACACTGGACGGTGAGTGGCCAAAAGATGTCCAAGAGTTTGGGTAACGTGGTGAATCCCATGACTTGCCTTGATCGCTATACTGTGGACGGCTTTCGCTACTTTCTCCTTCGGCAGGGAGTTCCCAACTGGGACTGCGACTACTATGATGAAAAAGTGGTAAAATTGCTGGATTCCGAGCTGGCAGATGCTTTAGGAGGTCTTTTAAACCGTTGCACTGCCCACAGAATAAATCCTTCTGGGACCTACCCATCTTTCTGCACTGCCTGTTTCCCCAGTGAGCCAGGGTTAACAGGGCCATCGGTTCGTGTGCAGGCCGAAGACTACGCGCTTCTAAGTGCGGTGGCCACTTTGCCCAAGCAGGTAGCGGACTATTATGATGACTTTCAGATCTATAAGGCTCTGGAGGCAGTATCCAGCTGTGTTCGTCAAACTAATGGTTTCGTCCAAAGGCATGCACCATGGAAATTGACCTGGGAAAACCCCGCGGACGCCCCCTGGCTGGGTACTGTGCTTCATGTGGCCTTAGAGTGTTTGCGAGTTTTTGGGACCTTGCTTCAGCCTGTTACTCCCAACTTAGCCGATAAACTGCTGTCAAGACTAGGGGTCTCTGCCACAGAGAGAGGCCTTAGAGAGCTCCACTTCCTACCTCGCTTCTATGGACACCCATGCCCCTTTGAAGGGAGAAAGCTGGGACCTGACACTGGGCTTTTATTCCCAAGACTGGACCAATCCAGGACTTGGGTAGTGAAAGCCCACAGGACCTAGAAACAGTCCTTACTGGCTGATGGTAAAAGAGCAGATGTATTCTTTTTGCATTTTCAGACAGTTGTGTTTAGAAAGTGTTGTACAAGATGAGTACTTAACCAGCACATGTCCTGAAGAGCCATTCAGGTACCAGGTACCTAACCCCCCTTTTCATTTCTCTGTGCCATGCCACTAACCACTGTTCTTTGTTGGCTAGTGTCTGAGAAGGGTGCCTGAGGAAGGGACCAAGTTCCTTCTCATTGTACCTTCTCCCAAACCATGGTCCAGACTACCTCTCACGGCTTCTGCTCCTTCTTTCATCTGAAACTGGACTGCAGTTTTTACAGGTCAGCCCTACTCTGTTAGATGCGGTCAGAGACTACATGACTTTTGCCCATGTTCATTCTCATTTTTTAAATTGATTAGTCCAGCAGTTGTGCTTTGTAATATTACACTTCATCCAGTAGGTGGCTCTGCTCTCACACATTCAACTACTTATGAGTGGTTTCAGAAGACTGAGAACTATTTCCAGCTGTCTGAATTCACAGATCTTTATTATTTTACTGTTTTTCTTAAAGGATAACTTTAGAACCACTGCTACTTTAACAACATGAAGATACTAGAATTCTTATTTTAAAACTACTAAAAATGACATGTACAATAAGTAATAAGTAAACATAACAGGTTATTTACATGATAAAACTATAAGGGTCTTTAGGTACACTGTGTATTATAAACATTAAATTTTAGTAATGATTATATGTATAACTCATCTATAAAGTCCTCAAAAGGGCAGTATTCTCTTTATATTTATTTCCTGACTTATCCATAATTTACCTCATGATTTTTGGTCAATCAGGATATATACATATATAATACAATGTAGAAATTATGTAATCATTATTAATATAAGTTAAAATAATCTTTGTGGTTTCTCTTTTTGAGACAATTTCACTATACATTTAAGCTTTCAGGTATTATAGGGCGTACCGCCATGCCTGTCTTTTCCTTTTAATTTGTTATTAAAGTTTGATTGTAAACAGGTTATTCAAATCTGTTTGGTTACATTTATTGACGGTAATGTTCAAGGGAGAAAATGACCAGTGTTCAGGACTGTCAAGGGTTCAGAGCTCTCTCCAAGGCTCCATAAAAGAACAGAGAATATGTTAAAGTAACATATTAGTACAGTGACTAGAACGAATTAAGTCACTGTTATATTAAATAGGGAATGGGACAGATAGGCCACAGTTTAAAATACAAGCTTGTTTTGGAACAGCCATTCTAAGTATGGTATCAGACAGAAAGGGCTCACCATGAAGTAAACAGTTGTGCAGGCAGTTTCTCCCAGACTTATTTGAAGTGCTACCATTCAGCTCTAGTTTCTATTTATTAGCCCAAGTGATAGGTTGTAGGTTGCTAGGAAGCACTGTTTGGAAAAGAATGCTTGAAGGCATTATAAAGGTGGAAGCACCGTTGCCACAGTGTTCCTTTGGACTCCTTGTACCATTTTGTGCTTTAGATCATTCCAGGTCTCCCTCCACAGGGCATATTCTAGTTACCTGCAGGGATCAGTAGGGTAGACTTCTGGGGTGTAGGGCACAGTCTCTTAGTGCTGGAAAGTGATGCAAGTTAGCCTGTTCCCCTAAAAGGAAGGCATCTAGTGGGATTCTAACCTCTCCTTTGGCGAGCCCTTACTGCAGTGTTGTAGTTCCTGCACAGACTCATCCTTATCTTCCATAGGCATCTTCCTCATATCCCAGTGGAGCTTGGCTTGCTGTTAGTGGAGTTTTGCCAGACTTGTGAAGGCATTTACTTAGCTGTTAGACACTAGGAGACAGGAGACCAGAAAAGAGATGGTGTAATTATAGCAGCCAGGGTATTTTAAGTGGAAGAGGTGTGGTAAACTGGATCCTACTTCTGTGGTGATCAGAAAGGTTAAACCGACTTCTGTAGTAGGCACAGTAGGTAAAACAAAGTCTTTGTTGTACACATTTGTGTTTGGCTTGACAGCAGTTTAGAATTGCCAAGTGGAGAGTTACATTTTTTTTTTTTTTTTTGGGCTTGTGTGTGTGTGTGTGTGTGGGGGGGCACCTTAACAACTTGTGGAATAAGGGAATAAAGGTGAATGAAGATTAGTGTGGTCCTCATTCCAGAAATGTCAGTCCTGTATGTGGAATCCTATAGAACCTTCTAAGTTGTTTTTAAACCTCAAAATACTCTTGTGAGTCTCAAATACTCATTTTGGTGTACTCTTGCAGGCAGTATTACAGGAAGTGACAGTCCAGTCCAGATCAAGTTTTCAAGGGCTGTCTTGTTAGGAAGCCATGAGATACAGCTTAGTGGTAGAGCACTTACCTAACATGGAGGGGCCCTGGGCCAATCTTAAGAAGCAAATCTCACCTCTCCAGACTTCTGGCCTGTATCTATGAAGTCATATAAGCAGCAGCAGGTAACATTTATGTTAAATAGTATTACTGTGTACTGTGTTCTACAAACTAATAGATTAGACATTTTCCTAATTGGAAAACCCATGGCTCTAAAAGCAGCAAGTACATACAATCTTTGGTTGCACCAAAACCACAGTCATTTTATAAAGAGACGTTTTTCTTATGAACTGATGAGCTTTAATTGGTGTGAATAGGCTAAAAGACTATGCAGTTGATGCCAGAAGTGTGTAAGTGCACAGGCTGGAAGATGGCTCCTGAGCACAAATTTGTCTGATGGGTTTTGTTTTGGTCAAGATTCCACCTGTAATTACAACCAAGTTCTTTAGTTCTAGAAGTTCTGACACTGGAATGGGCATTAGCTGATCATATAGCAGGCTTCAAAAAATGATGGCCCAAGAAGTAGGTGAGGTTATAAAGATGATAGTAGGGATGGCTTCATGGTTCTGACTGCTCTATCTCTACCAAGTATGTATTGGTGATGTTCTGCATTGATGTCAGATTGAGTTCTGGAGGGAGGCTAGGCCTCTTAGACAAGATGTGGCCAGTGAACATTAATTATTTATAATTTCCTTCTCAAGGCAATTTCCCATCTTCTATAGTTCAGGTTAGAGAATTTGATGGGTTTTTACCTTGTTTTACCCAAATTTGTGGAGATAGAAGGATGCAGATGTGACTATAGCCAAGTGTGTTTTTGCAGCAGTTTTACTAGTTTGGGGGTAGGGGAGGAACTGGGGTCAGGTTGGGGTACCCAAGAGCAGAGATTGCAGAAGAAAGCCTTCAGCTGTCTCCAGAACTTTGAGCGTGCAGAGCTGATCCTGGCCCTTCTGCTAGACCTTTGGATAGGACTGGTGAACTTACAATTAAAAAAGTTTTGTTTGTGTCTCTGTGTAAGGAGGGTGAAACAGGAGTTGCAGGGAGGAATAGGGAAGGGTGGGGCATGAGTTTGTATTAATGGGTGTAGGCGTATGTATTGTAGAGGTCACATGAATCAGTCTCTTTGCTACTGAGTAAGTCAGGGTAGCTGGCCTTCACATCTCTGGAGGTTGTTTCTACCCTGCCTCCAATGTCTTTCCAGGGTTTTGTCTGGGATCTGGGGATCCAAGCTTGGGGAGTCAGGCTCACAGGAGCTCAACTGAGTCCCTTAGCCCCAGGACTGGTGAACTTCTAACTAGGAACAAAGGAACTCTGTTAATGTTTAAGGGCGAGAACAGCTTAAACTGCTTGCTTAAATTGCCAATAACTGTTTTGAGCATGTAGGAAGAGACAAACCAATGTAAAGCTAAAGTTGGCTTCTTTTTCTTAACGTATGTAGTCTTGGGCTACTCAAGATACTACATTTGAATTTAAGGAAAAGCCTAACAGTAAAGAGCTGTTAAGAGTGTTATTGTAAGTTTCAACTTATATTTTATGACAGGACTAAACTGTGGGTCTGATAACTGGGGACCTTTTGCTGCTTCTACATATGAGTTGTGATTGGGAGGCTTAGCCACACCTAGATTGTCACAAAAGTAGGCAATAGTTTCATCCCCAGTGAACTGAACAGCTTCCAGCAGATAGCACAGGTTTAAAAATCGAGGCTGTTGTGAGATGTGATGATGTTTCAGGCAAGTTTGCCAATTGCAAGAAGAAAATTGAAGCTCCAGGTGAGCCTGCCCTTGAGTCACTAAGGACTTTGGCTGAAAATTCTGCAGAGGCCTAGAAGACTCAAGTGGGAAACTGCAGAGATGCTCTAGGAAGAAGTCGGTACCCTGTGGGGATGTGGAGCAGTCACCCCCTCTTCAGTTTGCAGCAATGTTAGTTGAAAATCGTTAAGATACTGAACATGAAGGTGACTTTTAAAGATTTCATTATGGTCAAGTTATAGATCAGAATCATATGACCTCAATTCAGCAATTTAATTGAAATACAACAAATTTTTATTTTTTTTCCTTAAGTAATCCCCTCCCACCAACCTCCTTGGTCCCACTATATAGTCCTGGCTGCATGGCCTATTTAAACCAGCCTGGCTTTGAATTCACAGATTAAAGGTGTGAGCCACTATTTTTAAAGAGGTAGTAGTTAAGCTTTTGTTTGGAGAATCAAATAAGACAGTTTCAGTGGTGCGTCCTTTGACTGATCTAGAACCTTCTATTAAACTCTGGATAATTCATACAAAGTTCACAAGCATTTTATACATTTGAAGCTAATCAGCAAAATAATACAGTGTTTCTAGCCAGATGAAAAGGCAGAAGAAAACTCAACCCAGAAAATGGGAAAGATTATTAAAAGGGCAAATAAAAAGAAAAAATAGTATAAGCAGAAAACCTGTAAGATGATACAAATGAATAATGTAATAGTATAAAATAGACAAGATTAAACAAGATAGCTGGCATGGCAAAATGTAATATTAGTGCAGGCTGCGACTATTAGTAACATAAGGGACAGATGATAATGAACACATGTCAGTTATGTACTTGTGTGATCTAACAACATAGTCTTAAAAAGAAATAGCTAATACTGAAAACTAATACACAAAATTCCATTTACGAGTTCAGGGGAATCATACAACGAGAAGTAAAAAATACAGCAACTCAGTAATTATTAGCATTTGAGTCTTTAATGCTTACTACATCGTGTGTCATTACTGCTAAGTGAAGGGAAAGGAATTTATAGCAAGTTTTGTGGCTTTAAAATTTCTTTTTTCATATAAGTCTCTGTTAAAATAACTGGAACTGTCAGTCAGATGTACCTGGCTCAGTCAATCCTCTCTCAGTAACCTCGCCACCCAAAGCTGGGTGTGATGGATATGGCCCACCCCTTTA